ATCGAATAGTAAAATTGTGTGCTCAGTTATTTCGCTGAATTCGATAAAAATGAAGCAGACGCAGTGAAGGCTATTCGTAAAAATAACACCAACTAAGAATAAAAAAAGCTACTACATCGATTTGTTTTTAAATATCTTAATATACAAGAAGGAACTGAGATCCTCTTGAGTTTACGAGCATAGGTGAGGCAAATACCGCGATACTTTGAAACCCCCGCCAATTTTTATCGTAAAATCGAATGCCATACTTGTTTTTTCACGATGGGGAAACTTTTTGTTTTTATTTGTTGTTACTCGAAGCGTGTTTTTGTGCATTTTATTACTGCATTTCTATAGTATCAATTCCTGGCTTAACGGCACCGATGAAAAAAAAAATGTTTATTTTATTTACCACTTCCCTCGGCAGCTCGCATCTTAAGCAATAATCTGTGCTTTTGGAGGACACGTTTTTGTGGCACTGAACGTCCCAGAACGAACGTGGCAACACTACAAAATCTGAAGAAAAAAAATTACTTGTTCACTCTTTAGCTTTTTTGTTTGTTTTTTTTACTTTGATGTTGACCACCAAACCATTCGCAGGAGAAAACTTTCTTCATATCCACAAAATTCACACATACTTACCTTCTTATTTTTTTATGCGGCTCGTTTACTTAAAGTGCATTTAAACTCCTGGCGCGATAATCTCACGTAATACATTATTCCAAAAAACGTAGACTTTTCTTCGGTAAAAGGCTCGAAAGCACATAACATAAAACTCGAAGAATAAATCAGACGGATGCATGAATGAACGTATAAAAAGAGATGAGAACATGGACAAGAACACAAACCGTCTAAAAAAAAACAAGCTGGGATTGGAAACATTGTGAGTGCGTGTCATTTTTTGTATCTGTTCTCAGTCTCAGGTTTATCATTAAGAAGTTCATTCACCAGCTTGCGAGCGTTTTACAGCGACAGCTGTTACAGGCTCTTTCAGTCACTGGAAAGGACGTCCGTTGTTGATGTTGTAATAGCTGTTCGTGATGTTGTAGTTTGCGATGTAGGGCGCCCGTCGTCGATGTTGCAAAATCCTCGATACAAAAATCCCCCGCCGCCCGTGGGATTGGAACCTGAGTCCACTGCGTGCTAAGCGGAGGCGTTACTACCAAGCTATGCCACAGCTTTCTTCTTTTTTTATTGCTGAGGTACGTTGCAGCGTTAACATTACACTTTAAACTTGAGGGGCGGGGCGGGGGGGGGGGGGGGGGGGGGTTGGTAGTTTTTGGCGCCCACTGCACGATTTATCTGAAAGAGAAAATAGCAGATTACAAAATGCCGTTGTAGCACTGTCAATGCCAAGAGCTCGTGCCGAAAAAACTCGCTATCATCCGCTGACGTATCACCGCAGCTATCGCTGTGACTTATATACTGCGGATTAACGCAGGACTGCTCAATTTTTGTTTTCACTTTTATCTTATGGGAGCCTGTACTCAAATATGCGCCACCAAGTATCAGTTCTGACCATTATCCAAGGCCGCCAGCATGCGGCGCTAGCAGCAGTTTGCGTGGATCGACCGGTCAGGGCAGGAGGAGGCTGTAGAAATTGAGAAAAGAAACAACCATGACGCAAGTACATGGTTATAAAAATACCTTACTTGGTACAAGCTTTGAAATCCTATAGGGGCCCAACATGGGCCATAACACGGTTTTGTTTCAGAGCGTTAGTTTGTGCCATGGTACTCTTCTTTGGTGTTTCTATGACTTTCCTTTGGCTTGGGCCACAGTGTCAGAGTTCCAGGCCTATGCCAAAAGATGCTACGTTCGAACCGAAGAATCATTAATTTAAGCCTAAACCTGGCACATGGTTCGAAATTTAGGCCAAACGTTGCCGCATAAAAACCGAACAACCAGAGTTAATGCCCGTCTCTGGCACTTGTTGGCGATTTAGAGCCAAAGGTGCCAGATGACAGCCAAGCTGCCAGCCGTGAAGCCTAACTTCGACACTTGTCTGACGAATTAGAATTAAGGTTATGACCAAGAAAGGTCAAGTTTGGCTCTACATCCCACGGCCTCTTCGGCTTTTGTTTATATATATATATATATATATATATATATATATATATATATATATATATATATATATATATATATATATAAATTCTCAGGCAAAGAAAATGGCTTAAATAATTGTATTTTCTTAGAATGCATACTTTTTATGATCTAAGCAAGTCTTAACGCGTAGGAAGATGTGAAAGAAGCTAATTGCAAGAGAAAATGTCAATCGGAATGCGCAGCGGCACATTGTAACCGCAAATGTGAGGCAAAGTTGCGTACAGACGAAACGGTGCTCGGACTCTTAATAATGGTTTCAGTCAGGCTATTTCAATCACAAGTCGCCATGCCTGCAAAATTGAACTTTACCGTAACAACCGCCAACTTTGGTTGATGCGGTTTCGACGAATTGGCGTGATTGCGATTAACGTTTTTCATCGTTTAACCGAAACGTTTACCTTGCAACAAAAAGAAAGGTAGGCTAATAGATTGCCCCAATAAAACAATCTAGAAGTTTAAACCCTCTGCACGACTACCATAATCACGGGAAAACAACCTCATGTGGCACCTTTTCACATGACATCTAGAGTTCGGGAAAATGGCACGCTTTTTAACGATCAGCTCTAAATGGGCCCTTTCATTTTTCGGATATGCTGGCTCGCTTATCCGTTTGCGTGTGCATGTACGTGTGTTGTGTGTTTTGTGTTGTTTGCGTTTGTGTATAGTGTGCGTGATGTGTGTGTGCGTGTGTGCGTGTGTCTCCGTGCGCACGCGAGCGTGTGTGTATGTGTGTATACTCTTCTTCTTACTTTCTTTATGCCATCCGCATATCGTCTATCTTCGAAATTGGAATTAGAAATGTCGTCGCGTCTTTTTCTTTATTTATTTTTTTGTTTCGACAGTTTTCGATTTTTCTTAATAATATGTTCGCCGAGATGCCTGTCCACGCCCTTCAGGAATCCTTGATTTTCCCCATCTTTAATTATGAATCGTTTGAGCCTCTCTTTAAGGATAGTTTATTCTTGAAATGAAAATGGAGGGGGAAAAGGGGCTTCGCCGTCTTCCCCAATAATTTCTATCCGGTTCCCGTGACAGCTTTTCTGCTTGCTTGATGCTGCTGACCGTTGCTTCGGTCTCCTGCTGTTTGTTTCTTTCTTTGAAAAAAAAAAAACGCGCCTGTGTGTGTGTGTGGGAAGGGGGGGGGGGGGGCAGACATCGTCCATCCTGTTTTTTTTTTTTTTTGCTTTTTTTTTATTCCATCAGTGTCATGACAGCTGACCCGCCCTCTACGTGAAACCGGGTATTACTGTCCAATCGAACGGATATTGTGAGCTCGACGCATCGAACGGTTGAAAATAAGTCTCGTGCGCCGTGTAGACGCCTTTAAGGAGCGTGGCGTTTTTTCGGGATTTTTTTTTCCTTTCAAATAAAGATGTTTCTTTGTTGTTGTCCTTTTTTTTGGGGGGGGGGGGGGGGGGCGGGGAGGAGAAGAATTTTATATTTTTCGGTGTCTATTTTTACTGTCGTACGAATATGTCGGCGTTTATTGGGGTGACGAAAACGGGACAAGAACATGGAGTTTCCTTGCCTCCATGGAACACACGCCTTATCCGAATACTTGAAGAAACGTGTTGGTACCGCTAAGAAAGGAAAAGAAGAAAACGGGAAACTAGCTGAAGGGAAACGGGATTCGGGCAGTGAGATGAAGCAAAACGATATAAGACGCACGCGCGATCCCTGAACGATAGCAAGATACTCGCTCGGAGCACGTGGTAAACATTCTTTCTTGACGAGGTGCTGCATGAACTGTCAATATTTCAATTTAAATTACTTTATTTTACTATTAGAGTACACAATAGGGGTATGGGTCAAAACATAAAGCTGCAATGGTGCAGCCTAAATAGTGCTGCTGCGATGGTGCAGACATGTTCACTTCCGAAAAAAATTCACTTGGAACTGTTGTGGAGTGGCTCAAAGCGCGCGCCGCGCCCCCTTCTACCGCAAATTTCATCGCATGCTCGAATTCGATATTTCATATTGTTGGATGCTGTGTATTCTTGGCAGAGCTTACTCATATTACGATGGCTTGGTCTTGCGGTGATGCACACACCTGCATTACGAATGAGCAAAGTGTTGACTTTAACAGCCGTCATTTCGTCAACGGATTGATTCGAAGCATTTCTAACCAGCCACGCCACCCAGAAATATAATTTTGCCTTTTCTTTTGCTTGACAAGTTTGTTCTAAAAAAAAGGTTTTTAATCATTAAAAGTAGTAATTTTCGTCCACAATAGCGAAGAAATGAAAGCGATAGCTGTAGCACGGTCGAGCAATGCGGGTTTAATGTTGTCGTAACGTCCCTGATGACGTAGGTGCGACGTGGTGAAGTCTCATAGCCGTCGTGGTTGGCGTCGTAGATGCCACTGACGACCGCCATAGTTTCTAAAACGATCCAACATTACCCGTAGCTACTGGATACTGCTAAAGTGGAATTTCGCATAACGCGAGCAATGTTTGAAAACAAGTCTTTCAAGCAGACGACACGAAGATCTTTCCTTTATCGCGCCATTCATGGCGGGCCCCTCCAGGGCTGTCCTCTTCATTATATTTTGCCCCAAAGGACTGAGGAGAAGTCCCGGCTTCCCTCTCCTCGCGCCAAAAGGGGAGAGAAAAATAGATTTTCTATTCTTCGAGCGCGCGGCGACGACAACCCACGAGGTCTAAATCTCTCTAAAGTGTCACCCGTAAGGCTATCGCTTTAAAACAAACATAGAGTTTTATTAAAAACTTGCAGAGCGTCATCAAAAATCACTGAATCAGACAATCATGCAAAAATTTGGAGTGCGTACTTTGCTTCTTCTGGCTTATAAAAAAAATGACGGAGGTATTGTTTAAATCATCTATGCAGTGCTTTTCTTTCATAGATGCGAAGTTCGCAAGTCGCGAATCGAATCTCGTTTTGTTCTTTCTCAGGTCCAACGGTCTCAAGTTCTCCGCTGCCGTTGGGATTCGACGCGGAGCCGCCGCACCGCTATTTCTTCCTCAACTCGCTGGGCGGGTCGCTGCGGTGCACGGGCCACGGGTCCCCGACCCCGGCGGTCTCCTGGGCCCACGCCGACGCCAACGGGTCCTGGGGCGGCCATCCGGCCACGCTGGCCGAGCTGCCCGGTCTGCGCCAGACCAGCGCCGATGGCACGACGCTCATGTTCCCGTCGTTCCAGCCCACCGACTTCAGGGCGCACGTACACGCTGCCTCGTACCGCTGCGTCCTCAGCAACGCCGTGGGCAGGATGGCCAGTCGCGTCGTCAGGGTCCGAGCAGGTGAGCAGGACCCCTATCGCACCCTCGAAGCGTTCAGTCCCTTTGGGAGCGCAGCAATTTCCGTCGGGAAATGAGGTGACAGTTGGTGGCACCTATAGAAACACTGATTCTGCGCGACGATAGCGTCTAAGCAACATTAAAAGGCAAACCAAACGAGCGTAGCAGTCGTTTTTATTGAGTCTATGTTGAACATCGCCTGTAGAAATCGCTGTTGCGAAGCTCCGCCTCGCATGAACCTTGGTACAATTCAAAATGCTTTCTTACATGTTCGTGAGGCATGCATCTCCAAATGATCCGGTTAATGACGCCCTAAGCTTGAGATTTCGTTTTCTTCTCTAAAAGAGGGCGTTGTGAGCCTTTGCAGGAAGCATATACATGTCGACAGCATGCGCGTTCTGCAAATCGGGCCAATCGTTGTGCGCCTAAAGCATCTGAATGCACGTGAAAGTTTCTAATACATATATAAACCTCTCGTTTCTATTTTTGCGTCTTATAGATATATAGCTTACAAAAATTACGTACATGGCTTGAACCCCAAATCGACATTTCAAGCTCCAAAAGCGTGTCATGGGAATCCTAGCATTCAAATTGTACTGCTGTCTAGTGTCTTAATCCGTCATATTTTGTTGTTTACTTTCCTTCGGAGTTACGTAAGTAAAAAGTTACTTGGAGGAAAAGTCAAGTTTTCTTTTATTTTCGTGCAGCAACTGCTTCCCAATCCGATCATCCGGATAATCCACCTCCTAATCCCGACTGCGACGGCGCATAGCGTGTCGGAGAAGATGGAGGAATGGAACGGCGGAACCGTCTTAAGAGACGCTAATTACTCGGCTTGCGAGTAAACTTCGCACGCCTAAGCACACTTCCATGCCTCGCAGGCAGTGAGCGCCTTTTTGGTGGTTATCTTGTTGTTTGCGATATATACGAGAGGAAATTTAGTGGCCGGACTTAACTATTTCACGGCTCCGTCCAGACCACGTGACTTTATGAAACTACTTTTCTCTCCTTACCCTTCCCCCCGTGCACCTTCGAGCCGCAGACACACTGCATCGTATACAAAAGACTGTCTGCAGGCACTAGCTGAGGCGTGTTTATTTTATGACGTATGGATAGATGAACGTTAATGGCTATACTCTTCCAAACGGGCGGTAGCTTGCGCCACCTAACTTTTTTTTTTTATTATCAATGTAAAAATCGTGTCGCGTTGGTAATGAAAAAACATTATCTGGAGACATTGTTTGAAGGATACACTCGTATAAATCAAGCATGCCTCGAAGATGTTTGAGTCGTGTCCGTGGACAGTTGTGTCATTATGTCTGCTAAGAGCACCGTGTTTTCTTATGATGTACAAGCACCGTAACTGGTCTTCTATAGACCCCCTTTTTTTTTTTTTTTCTTGTTTCCGACAGTGCACGTCCCGCAAGTTTACTTTTTTTCTGCATCAATTTTCCGAGGCCACCATATTTTGACGTGCACATTGAAGATGCAGTATTATTGGCGCTGAGATGTTTTGCTGGTGTCCTTTGAAGCCGGGTTCGTAACCCCTTAAACAACATACAAAAAAGCGGCCGGCATACAAGTTCGAACGCGAGTCACCGCGCGAGAGATCCGTGCTTCGAAAGCCTCATGGCAATAAGTTCAAGGGGAAAACTTGGGCACGCGGTATTCGAACCATGGTGACTAGTGTTTCTTTCAAACTGCAATTTCGTATGACGTATGATCAGCGTGACCCAGGATTTTTATGGTCCTCGTTTGTGACGTTACGAACCAGATTAGCCTCGCCGTGATTGGCAGGATTTGCCTCGCCGTGAACTAGCGAATGTGGCAGGCGTTATTGGTAAAGAGAAAACCATACGTGAACCGGAAGTTCGTCTGCTTCTTTGGCAGGGGTTGAATGTTGTGACGTCACAACAACGCCGAGCTCGGATTGGCTATGATTGAAGGATAGAGGGTAGACCCCAAGGCAGCTTGCTTCGAGGTCTACCCACTATCCTTCAATCAAAGCCAATCAGAGCACACTGTCGTTTTGACGTCACAACAATTAACCCCCGCGAAATAAGCAGACAAACCTGCGTTTCGCATTTGGTTTGGCCAATCGCGGATGCCGACCACCGCGGTCGTCACTATCCGAGGGAGCCAATCAAGTGGCGCCGAAAATCGCGCCAGTAATCGTCGTTCTACGTTGGGTATCAATGGCTGAAAGAATCACGCACAATGAATAACCCGTGATCCAGGCTTTTCTTTCTTTTCTTTTTTTTTGTGCGTGATTGATTTAGCCGGTGATTACCAACGAACAAAAACGATGCACGCCGTGACGACGCCTTTTTTTTGTCCCTGCCTGATTGGCACCATCAATTCGTACCGTCGGCTTCGGTCGGCTTCGTAATGAAACAAAATGCAGACGTACGAGTGTTGATCTCGGCGCGTACTCGGGTAGAAGCGTATTTGACGCGAGTGTCGCATCAGCGCTCGGCGTCGGGTCGATTACAATCACTCGCTTCGCGCAGGCGGTGATGCTCACGGGATGGATGGATGGATGCGTGGATGCTAAGGGCTGCACCCTTTATAATGGGCGGTAGTTGTGCCACCTACACTAGGTGGCGCGTGCTACTGCCCGTTATGGCATGGATTGATGTTCAGATGGGTGCTAACGGCTGTACCCTTTATATCGGGCGGTAGCTTGCGCCACGTAGCCTAGAAGTCAAGAACCTAAAGTTTGATTTATGTCCTTCGCCAATTTGCTTACCCTCTGCAATTTTGTAACTATCACCAGGCAATGCGGGATATCACCAACATGACCTTCGGGGGATCAGGCAAAATAACCCTAAAAACTTTCCCCCCCCCCCCCCCCCCGTGCCCTCTCCCCCCGGCTAGGGAGTCGCCAAATTTCCTTTGGTCAAACCCAGTCGGAGTTAACCCGGCACTAGTCCCACTGGGAGACAGGGTGGAGACTTTGGGAGGGAGTCCCACTTTTCCTCTGTCCCGCCTTTCCCCAGATGCGTCAGTTGGAGTTGCACTTCATTCGATTCTCCCTAGATAAATTCCACCAGTCTTCCAGTCCCCTCTTTGTTAATAAAATGCACTAATCCATTCTTCCATTCTCGTCTGCAAACCCCAGCACTCCGGATAAATCCGTTAACCCCTCTGGGGGGGCGGGAGCAAGCCTTAATACCTCTTGACATTACATGTTCTATTGTTTCGTCTTCTCCTTGGCATACGACACAGCGCGTATCCATTCCCTCATACTTTGTTCTATATTTCCAAGGAGTCAATACTCCCGTTCTAGCTTCGAATAACTACGAGCTTCCCCGTGAATTATCATACCACTGTTCCTTCCTTACTTCGTGTTTTAGAGCGCAGCTCTTAGGCTCTCGTTTCCGCCTTAAGCGGCGTCGCCGTCGCCGTTGCCGTCGCCGTCGGTGTAACCGCAAGGTCACGTAACCGCCCAGGTCACGTGATTATACAGTTACGCCGTGAGGCCTGGGGGGTCACGTGACCTGGGGGGTCATGTGTTCCCCCAGGTCACGTGACCTGGGGGGTCACGGAGGGAGGAGGTGTATACCCTCCCCTCAGTACCCTTCCCTCCTCCTCCCCAAGAGCTGCGCTCCAATTCGGCTTTATAGGGAGTTGTAAATGACTCTCATTTTTTTGTCTCTATACATAGTTAAAGCTGATTTTCTTTGCATTCTTTCCTCCCACGTCTTTCTCTGGGCTTCTTTTTTTACTTCCTTTTTCACAGAGGTAGTTTGCTCTACACCAGCACTTGACTGTTGGTATTTTAATTTCAGTTTCCGGGTTCGGTTTGTTCACTTGGTGTTTAAACTTTTCATGCATAGATGCTTGCGTACCTTTCTCGCCATTGTGTGTTCTCAATTGTTCAAATTTGTTCAAATTTGAACAATTTTTGTTCAAATTTCAACTTACTCATGGTATATCTATAGCCTCGAAAGATGCCCAGCCTATGTCTCCCTGCATTCTTTCATTTTTGTGTATTCCCATGCGCCCCCAGTGCCATGAGAATACACCAAATGAAGGCCTATTATGACGGTCTCCAGCGTTGCTTCACTGACTTTTGAGTAGAGAATTTTGCCTGTTTGCAAAGCGGGTGGTTTTCCCATGCAGAAATGCTGCTGCGAAATATGTTTGATCTCGGTTCGTACCGGGTGTAAGAACGCTCGTTTTTAGCCCGGCCTCGAGAAGTGTTAATAACGTCTGTAGGAGCAGTAAGAATCGTTGAAAATGAAAATTTATTCTCGGAAATATTTAGGCACTTTTTTTTTTGTTCTTTTACTCTGCTTGCGAATATGTTTTTCACAATAGGGACCCTTGCATGAGTCTGTTCAAAATTAGCACTATCTGCGCCTCCCCCTCGACTTTCTAGTTTTGGTATTTGCTAAAATAAAATTTTAACTACCATTTTGTCATTTGTTGTTGTTGTTGTTGTTGTTGTTTTGTCTTTTTTTTTTGGGGGGGGGGGGGGGGGCATTTGTTGGCATTAGATATTACAAAGAACGGCTCCATCTTGAAGCGTCGAAATATATATGTACGGCACGAATGCACCACAGGTCGTGCGACGCGTCAAAAAAAATATATCCCCGGGTTGTGACGTCCCAGATATCCGGCGCGCAAGAGCACGTGTCCAGTTTATACTTTTCGGGCGTGTGTTTTAAGTCGCACTCGCACTACTCGTACATAATACAAATGACACGGTGTCAGTGGCGTACCAACTTGTTTTTGAGTGGGGGGGCAAACCCGACCCTCTTCCCCCCCCCCCCCTTAATCGAAAATTCGGCGCAACTTTTGTCGAAGTTTTCTAAAGATGTGGCAATGATTCAGCAAAATTACAACGTTACCAGACTTAACATTGATATTTTGTTTTTTCTCATGAAAAACATTTTGCTTCTTCTTCTTAAAATAAATACAACTTGTAGTGCCTATTGAAACAGTTATGATTAAATAAGGTGATATTCTACAAGATAATTGTATCGATGTCGCTTTTG